TTTGGAGAGTTCTTGAGAAGAAAGGTGTTGATATGATTTATATTCAAGTCATTAAAGATTTGTATACTAGAGCTGTTGCTTGTGTTCTAACAGAAGGAGGATTGACTAAATATTTTCCTATTTTAGTTGGATTACATCAGGGATCTGCTTTTAGCCCATATCTTTTTGCTTTAGTTATGGATGGTCTTACTGGACATCTACAAGAGGATGTACCTTGGTGTATGCTTTTTGCTGATGATATTCTTCTCGTGGATAAAACGAGAGAAAAAGTCCAGGAAAAACTTAAATTATGTAGGTCTACATTGGATTCTAAAGGCCTTCGTTTAAGTAGAACTAAAACTGAATACATGGAATGTAACTTTAGTAGTAATAGCTCTAGCGACAGAAGTGTGACTTTGGCTGATCAAATTATTAAAACGTGTGAACGATTTAGATATCTTGGGTCCGTTGTTCAAAGAGATGGTGATATAGATGGGGATGTTAATAGTAGAATTCAAGTTGGTTGGTTGAAGTGGAGGAATGCTTCGGGCCTTTTGTGTGATAGAAAAGTACCGCTTAGACTGAAAGGAAAATTTTATAAGACGGTGGTGAGACCTGCAATGCTCTATGGCACTGAATGTTGGCCTTTATAAGAGAAGCATAATAAAAAGTTAAGTGTTGCCCAGAAGAGAATGATTAGGTGGATGAGTGGCTTTACACTTAGAGACAAAATGCGAAATGAATATATTCGTGATAGGGTTGGTGTAGCTCCTGTGATGGACTAAATTAGAGAAAGTCGTCTTAGATGGTTTGGTCACATTAAACGTCGACCATCTGATAATCCGATTAGGAGAGTAGATGTTTTAGATTCGACTTGTGTTAAGAAAGGCAAAGGTAGACCTAGGAAGAGTTGGGCTTATTGTATTAAAAATGATCTTAATTTACTAGAACAAAATGAAAATATGACACTAAATAGGACGCAATGGAGAAAAAAGATTCATGTAGCCGACCCCACGTAGTGGGATTAAGGCTTTGTTGTTGGTGTTGTTGTCTCAAAATATTGGGTGTTACATTTTATTTCTTCTTATACCTGGCGTTCATTACCCAACATGTTTTGACTTCCGTCATCATCTATCAACATGTACCAGCCAAACAAAACCTAGAGATTTAATTTCTTTATCTCCTTAGTAGAAAATGAAACCATTTTGAAGTTGAAGTACATTTTTGTTCATCAATGGTGAAGCGTAGATAGAAATGGCAATGACCAACAACAACTTCAACATATACAATCACCTTCTATCATATGTTTCATTAAAGTAAAACATCAAAGTATTGGGTTGCTAGTGAGGGAGCTCTATATTGAAAAAAACTTGGATTCTCAAACAAATTCATACTACGACAACTGAATCCTTTATAATAACACCAAAAAATATCATTAGGATGATTGACATATGATTTAAATAAGTCATTTATTGTGATTATAATTAAAGTCATTGGCAACACCATGTTACCAAGGTCATTTAAAGATTTAGTTTAGAATTTACCACTTCATGGGAGACATCAATCAAATCAAGTGCTTGGGACATTTGAACCATCCCTAGATCACCAACAGGAGATGGAGCGCCTCTACCGCCAATAATTTTGGGAGCAATAAATGCATAAACCTGCACCAAGTACAAATAAAATGTAAGGCTAGTAAAAGCATCCAAAAATTTTAACAAAATGAGATCAATTATTTTGCATATAAGCAAAAAAAAAAAATACACACCTAGAAAGAAAGGATCGGCCTTGATGAAGAGAGAAAGAGAACCCACTACGCATAAAAAGTTTAGTTTTAGGAGCACTCAATTGGCCTCACAACTAATCAGATTGCATTTATCATTAATCAATAATAATTTAGTTACCCAAAAAAATGTTCCTAATTATAAAAATAGAGCTACAAGGATAAGGCCAGGCATATGAAAATAAATATAATCATAAACAATAAACATTAAAATTTAAGTTCCCATACTCATCTATCAAATTAAGTACATTATTGAGCTATTTGAGAAGTTAGGCAAGATGAGGTTCAGATATAGTAAAACCGCACAATCTCCTCTACTAAATTAAACTTAGATGAATTATGCAAACTAAAATACATTAAGTTATAAAATAGAATGATATGATCTTATTTATATTTCACTCAAAGCGGGCTAGATGTTCAATATGATGTACACGTTAGCAAACATTTCTAGGTTAATCCAATGGAATATTATTCAAATATAATAAAGTGTATAGTTTTTTTATTTGATAGAAACCAGGCTTGCAGTATCCGAGAAATTAATTGCCAAGTGATTTAGTTGTAGAATCTAATGGGAACTACACTCACAGGTTTAATTAGAAGAGCACATCAAATATAAGTGAGTTTTCGAAACATCTCCAATGTCTAGGTCCAATAAGAAGTTAATTTTTGTAGCTTTATCTACTACATAGGCAGACTATGTCTTGGCATGTGATTCTTTTGCAGAGGTGATATGATTAAAATAGCAATTTAAGAGGACTATGTAATTAAGCAAGAATGTGTTCTAATAGGTATATTAATACCAGTGTTATGAGTTTAACTGAAAATCACGTTCAACATTCATGACTAAAATAAAGCACGACTTCGCATAGAAGGATATTTATTATTTAGAACCATATTATGAAATAGATTTCGTTAGTGAGGCCCCCCAAATAAGTTAGTGGGTCCCATTAAGTACCTAATTATCATTATCTTAGAATTAGATACGAATAATACATATAGGCAATAAAAACTACATGCACATTTTATTACCAAAAAATTTCAAAATTAAAAGAAAAAGCAATTAAATATTCATTTAATAAAGAAAATAATGAAAAACGTTCTAAAAAAAAAGAAGAATTGAGACACCTTTATTTTTTTCTTATCCCCTGCTCTATTAGGTCTGAGCTCTCATTTACCTTTTAAAATACTCATTATATTAACACCTTTATTTTTTTCTTACCGTTGACTAACATTAAATTTATAATTTCAGTCACAGAGGACAAGCATTCAAATTATGGATATTAAGATTTTTAATTATAACCTGGTTGAAAAAAGAATTGAAGATATTTCAAGTTATGTAACGGCTACTAATTATTGTTCCTTTCTTTTGGCCAGGCTTTGATAACAATGACAAGTTTTGAAACCCGGCTTATGTCGCTTCCTTATTCCAAAACAAGTGACATACTTATCAAATTAAATTGGTGCTGAATTTTGACATGAAAAGTTTAAACAAGTAGTGTTGTTTATTACTATTCATATGCTTGTATTTGATTAATTTATTATAGATTATATAGTTTTTGGTATTAGTAAGTGTTATCATGTTAGATGTAACATGTACGTGAGTTAATTGTGGATGATTATCCTTACTCATATCAGTCAACAATGCCTTCTCATTATTGATTTTCAAGATCATGAACAAAATATTTAAAATTAATCAACTTAATCATAAAATAAAGCATGGTCATATCAAAACATTATTTTTCCTTTGCTGCTCCTAAACTCAGTTTCATTTCTTTATGTCACTTAATCCCATCTAATTGCTATTTTTATCATTTAAATTAACCACACGAATCAATTAACACTTCATTTCAATACTTTAATCTAATATTATGTTTTAATAGATAATCCCAATGAAAAAAGTAAGACAGCTCAAATGGTTCAACAATTAAAATTTTCTTATAAATTCCCATATCTCTCAATGAATAGAAAACATGAATGAAATTGACCGTTTTAGGCTCTATTCAAAAAGCTAGATATGGATAGATATGAATAACCAAAAAGTGTTTAATGCTTTTTTGGAAAAGATGGCAGTCAACAAAATCCGTATAACGAGCTAAATGATGGACCGCACTGGATCCCTCGGCTCTAAGCCCAAGAGCAAAACAACAATGATAGTGGGCTCTTGTTGACATGTCCAAAGAAGACTGCCAAAAATCAAGGTGGCATCCTGATACTCTTGGTGGTGATGGTTGAAAGTCACGCACATCAAATCAACTAAAAAGTTTCAAAAAATGAAAATAGTAACTCATCTAAATCTCTCGATCATAGACTTCATCGATCACAAAGAAAAATATGATAATCTTCCCATCATTGAAGGATCACTTTTAAACTAGCAACATGTCACAAGTTGGAGAGGCTTCATGATGGGATCTCTTCAATCAACATCGATGTTGTGACTTTCGTGTTTGTGCTAAACACCAATTGAACATATTTTAGATATTTCACACCTCTAACATGCCCTGATATGAAATATTTTTTTTCCAAAATCGATGTTGGACATGGACTGCCAGAAAAAGTTGTATGTTTTGAACGCATTGAGGATCTGTTGTAAATATTTTTTTATTCTAAGTTTTCAAATTTTGGTTCAATAATATATTGGTTTGATTTTAGACAACTTAAAATCAAATGTTGTTAATATTCAAAAGCCTAGGTTTCTATTATAAGGAACTTTCTATCATCCTACCATCACAGAGTCGCTGACATATGTTAGTGCTTCAATAATCATTGAAGTGGTCAATGTGAAGACCAAGGTTGTTGTCAAGCTTTCTCTGCCTTTGCAAAATCCAACAACTGTGGCTAGATCTGGTGATGAGGCGGTTGCTCAAGCAGCTCAAGTAATGAGTGAGTTTAAAGTAATGACCTTACCCTTACCTAAAATAAAGCCAAAAGGTAATATTTATATTATGTTTTCAGTTGAGTTTAAGTTTAAATTTTCATATTATCAATATTTACTTATGATTTTTACAATTCAATTTAATAAGTGACATGGGTGAAGATCGATCAGTGGATCAGCAAATTCCTCCTCCAACTGCAATAGAGCTTAATATTCTAAATCAAACATCTTTGGAGAGTAGAGGATCTAAAGTGGTTCCTAAAAAAGGCACTCAGTCCATAATCAATAATACAATTGTAGAGGCTTTTGAAGCTCCAATTTAGAATTCACCCGCTAGAGGTAAAATTCGTCTTCAAATTTGCTGGCATTAGACGTCCTTAATACAATATCATTTTACTTGTGGACAAGCATTCAGAAGAAAATATCCATCAATTACCGAGAGAAGAATGACCAGTTCTCCGGCTCTGCAAGGTCATGAAATTCATGAGACTCCTATGTCTCTGTTGAAGGAGACCAGAGTCTCTGTTGAAGGAGACCAGTTAGGAAGTATTTATGGCTACTTCTATAACTCTGCAAATTCATACAAAGCTTCAAATGCATTAAAATATGAAGAGCTTGCAAAGGAGTTTGCTGAATTCAAAATAGCAGTTGAGACAAAGAAGGCCAGGCCGAGATGTTGGACTAACTGTCTGCGCCGAAGAACTCCTTCAACGAGTTAAAAGAAGAAATCAACATTATGAAGACCGCCATTGAAGAAATAAGAAAATTAATTGTTGAGATGATTTTTCAACTGATTATTTTTTCAATGATACACGGAGTCAGCTTAATCAAAACATTTTTTTGCAGGAGGCAAAGTCATAGTACAAAGAATTCTTCAAAGTGACAAATTAACTCCCATGGCACTAACGACATTGACTTCAATTATTTTAATTTTATTTTTGTACTAATTAAAAAAATGAATTATTGTATTTTGAAAAGTAGTGAGTAAATTTGTGGACATTATGATGTAAGTGAAAAAATCTTTACTGAAAAATGAATAATCCTTTATTCAATATTACTTTTTGGAAACAAAAAGTTCTTCACTCGAGAAATGCAGCATCAATTTTTATTTCTCTTTTTATTATATTTATAACTAAACTATTTTGAGCCTATTTTAGTTTCTTCCGTATGTTCTTTTGTGCTCTTCAGCAACCAGAACGCCTTTCAGTTTCACAATCTTGTTCATTTTCTTCCTCCTTTTCCTCAAGCATTTCTGTATTCAGAAACAGTTTCCCAGCGTCCATAGGGGACTTTTTCTAAGGGTATCAAATGAAAATATTGTACGATCATGACATCTGTTGTTGCCAAGTTCAAATTCGGTTAGGCCATTGATACCATTTATACACAGAACTGGAATATATTTGAATTTTTATGAAGTTATCTCTGCTCAAAGAATGCCCAATTCTTTTGCGACCCAATTTTTTTCCGACCATTATGTCTACAATTATGTATATGCAGACAAAGAAAATGTATTGGTTATGTAATTTATTTCGACATTTATTTACTGTAAAAGCCTATAAGGACGGCTTTGTTCTTTTCTTATCTACTGCCATTAAGATGGTTGGCTCGGAAGTAAGTCTAAGATTGGAATAACCGCTTCAGTTTTGTTTCCATCAAGAGTGGACGGACTATCCCCACCAGATCATAACCATTCCCATCAAAGATATATGTCCCTCTTGCAATGACAGCTGAGGGGACTGGTAGGTATATATTTTTCAAGAAACTTATCTTGGAAGTAGTCACATTTATTGAACCGCCTATTATAGCCAAAATGCTAGCACATAAGTCGTCATACTACTTCAGAGTTTTTTTTTTCTTCCTTTTGCTGAGTTCCCCTAGCTCATGTTAATCCATTTTTCTATTTCAATCATAAAGCTGCTAGAACTGATTCAACACAATCTTCTACTCTAACTCAAAAAGCAAGCCTCTCATTGAAAGTATTGGAAATGGTGGGGGCTGGGTGCTATCAT